CAATTGCACAACTTGAACTGCCTTCCAGCTTCAAAGCCTGGTTGCTTCCTGCCTGGGGGAATCCTTTGTTGGGAGGTGTTATATATCTGTGGAATGTCCAGGGTGGAAGAACTATTGTCTGTTTGAGGCAAGTGTGAATATTGCAATTTCACAGCTTGAACGGCCTTCCAGCTTCAAAGCCTGGCTGCTTCCTCTCTGGGGGAATCCTTTGTTGGGATGTGTTAGCTGGCCCTGATTGTTTTTTTTTCTGGAATTCCTGTTTTTTGAGTGTTGTTCTTTATTTACTGTCCTGATTTTTAGGGGTTTTTTAAATATTGGTAATCTGATTGTGTTCATCTTCATGGTTTCCTCCTTTCTGTTGAAATAGTCCACATCCCTGTGGATTTCAACGGCTTCTCTGTATAGTCTGACATGGTAGTTGGGAGAGTGGTCCAGCATTTCTGTGTTCTCAAATAAGATGCTGTGTGACCAGGTTGGTTCATCAAGTGTTCTGCTATGGCTGACTTCTCTGGTCGAGTTGTCTGCAGTGCCTGTCATGTTTCTTGATTCGTGTCTGGGCGATGCTGCGTTTGGTGGTCCCTATGTAGACTTGTCCAGAAGACGAGCTAGACTTGCAAGCAGTGGTCTTTAAAATATATATAATCATATCTTCTGGAGTTGTGTAGCATCACAAAGAGAAAGCGATCCTGCAGCGTGGCCATAGCAACTAGTGGCTGGCCCACCTGCAGCAGCCTTGCTTCTTCCCTTCCACTTCTCCTGGCCACCAGCACCCTCCCTCTCCATCTCAGGAAGAGCTGTATCTTGGCAACGGTCCTTAGCAACCAGGAGAGTCCCCGCTAATCCGATGGGCAAACAGTTGCTAAGAGACCAGCTTGACCTTTCATTCTTCCGGCTGTTGGTACCTGCATGGATGAGATATTGTGGACACTTGGCAGAGTGGAGGCTGGAGAGCCACTTTGGGTAGACCGAGAGATATGTCTACCAAGAAAGCAAGAGCAGGGCTGTTCTGGGTTCCCATTCTTAAGTCCCTTCCTAGGCAAGGATTAACACCCCTGTCGTGTTTGATTTGCTGTCTGTGCCCCTCTTCGGAAGACTTCACCACTTTTTCTATCCCTGTGATAATTGGATTTTGAAAAAATTGGGAAGTTTGGGAAGTGGTCCACACTCTGGTTACATCCCGTATAGACTACTGCAACGCACTCTACGTGGGGTTGCCTTTGAAGACTATTCGGAAGCCTCACATGGTCCAACAGGCAGCAGCCAGGTCGTTAACAGGAGCGGCACTCAGGGAGGGCACAACTCCTCTGTTGCGCCAGCTCCACTGGCTGCCAATTTGCTACCAGGCACAATTCAAAGTGGGTTGTTGTAGGTTTTTCTGGGCTATATGGCCATGTTCTGGAGGCAATTTTTCTCCTGACGTTTCACCTGTATCTATGGCAAGCATCCTCAGAGGTAGAGAGGTCTGTTGGAAGTAGGAAAAATGGGTTTATATATCTGTGGAATGACCAGGGTAATGTTTCAGCTGATCACCTTGATTTGTATTCAATGACCTCTGAGGATGCTTGCCATAGATGCAGGTGAAACGTCAGGAGAAAAATTGCCTCCAGAACATGGCCATATAGCCCGGAAAAACCTACAACAACCCAGTGATCCCGGCCATGAAAGCCTTCGACAATACAATTCAAAGTGCTGGCTTTAGCCTATAAAGCCCTAAATTGTTCCGGCTCAGCTTACCTGTCCAAACATATCTCCTCCTATGAACCATCTAGGAGCTTAAGATCATCTGGGGAGGGTTGCAAGAACAATAGCTATATAAACAAGCACCTTATTCTCCCTACAGATGTCCCGGTCCTCAAACACTCTGCTTCATTGGGGAAAATGTTGCACTCGCAGAGCTCAGGCAGTGTTGTATTTCAATGTTGACTTTGACATGGAGTTACTTACTTACTTAGGTGATTCCTCGTTGTCCGAGTAGGATGGTCTTCCAAGATTGGTGTCCTGGCGGTGGGTCCGTGGGTGACTGTAGAGCCCTATTCTTGACCCACATGTTCTCTGCCTCCACCACTATAACAGATCTTGGTATTATATCTCCTAATATATCCCACCTGCTGGCACCACTCTAACGAAATCAGGGGGTATAATAACTCATGAATAAGTCAAGCCAAGAGGAAAGCTTGATGCGCCTTCCTCTTGGCACATTTCTCTTTCACCCTCCATTTGTGCCTCTTCAAATTCTACAGCACTGCTGGTCACAGCTGACCTCCAGCTGGAGCGCTCAAGGGCCAGGGCTTCCCAGTTCTCAGTGTCTATGCCAGAGTTTTTAAGATTGGCTTTGAGCCCATCTTTCAATCTCTTTTCCTGTCCTCCAACATTCCATTTTCCATTCTTGAGTTCGGAATAGAGCAACTGCTTTGGGAGATGGTGGTCAGGCATCCAGACAACATGGCCGGTCCAGTGGAGTTGATGGCAGAGGACCATCACTTCAATGCTGGTGGTCTTTGCTTCATCCAGCACGCTGACATTTGTCTGCTTGTCTTCCCAAGAGATGTGCAGGATTTTCTGGAGGTAGCGCTGATGGAATCGTTCCAGAAGTTGCATGTGACATCTGTAGAACATCATTGGGAGGGGAATAGCTTTATAAACAGGCATAGAGCATCGTTGGCTTTATAAGCAGGCATAGAACATCGTTGGGAGGGGAGTGGCTTTATAAACAAGCTCCTTGGTATCCCTACAGATATCCCGGTCCTCAAACACTCTCTGCTTCATTTGGAAAAAAGCTGCACTCGCAGAGTTCAGGCGGTGTTGTATTTCAATGTCAATGTTGACTTTGGTGGAGAGGTGGCTGCCAAGGTAGCAGAAATGATCAACATTTTCTAATGCTACACCATTAAGCTGCATTTCTGGCATTGGAGAGGGATTAGCTGATGATTGCTGGAAGAGCACTTTGGTTTTCTCAAGGCATTATGCTAAATGTCCTTTGACATGGAGTGCCTCTGGTGTCACTGCGAGAACGTCCTCCCTTGTGCATGCGGCAGGGCTCAGACTGCATTGTAGTAAGTGGTGTGTGGTTTGCTCTTCTCCACACTTGCATGTCGTGGACTCTACTTTGTAGCCTCATTTCTTAAGACTGGCTCTGTATTTCTTGGCATTTGGTATAAGGGCAAGTTTTTAACCTTATTTGTGTTTTTAAATATAACTGTACCCTCAATTTGCTTCTGACACAGTAAACAAATAAATAATGTTGCCAAAAGGAAATTATTTCTAACAAGGTCATGCCTTTCCAAAGATCATAACTCTCCAAAAATACAATTTTTAAAAAAGTGGAATACAGAACCAATTTGGGGGGGGGGGGGCATTTTTGGAGCAAAGTGCTGAAAGTGACCTGGGTGGCCATATCTGTTTTGCCTTTCTGGCACATAATCAAATTCTTTCTTTTGAAGATAAATCATGGAATCTTATGCATTTGTGGGATCCATGATTTCCAATTATCATCTGAGAGTTGCATACCATATTGGTCAATTTTAATTAAAGCAAATATCACAAAAAAGCAGACATGCAGTGTTCCAGATCTGAAGGAAAAAATAGGCCATTACCAGATCAGTGCTGCCACTTGCTGGCATTACAACCAACATGCATGCCATTGATCTCAAACAGCACTAAATAAACAAACAATAAATAGGATGTCTGGAAAGAGTTGGCAATAAGACTCCTGTAAAAAAATGAAAGCTGAACATATGCCATTAACATATGCAATATACTACTACTACTACTACTACTAATAATAATAATATATTTATATTGCATGTAATATTACTAATAATATTACAATATAATGGTATAGTACAATATAGTAATAGGAAATAAAGCCCGACTGCTCACTGGAGGGAAAGATACTAGAGACAAAGTTGAAGTACTTTGGCCACATCATGAGGAGACAGGAAAGCCTAGAGAAGACAATTATGCTGGGGAAAGTGGAAGGCAAAAGGAAGAGGGGCCGACCAAGGGCAAGATGGATGGATGGCATCCTTGAAGTGACTGGACTGACCTTGAGGGAGCTGGGGGTGGTAACGGCCGACTGGGAGCTCTGGCGTGGGCTGGTCCATGAGGTCACGAAGAGTCGGAGACGACTGAACGAATGAACAACAACATGTGTGTATGTATGTATATATATGATTTTTTGGTTCTGTTTCCACCTGGGAGATGGAGGTGGGATAGATATCTATATCTATATAAATAAAAATGTAATGTTGTTTGTGGGATTAACATAACTCAAAAACCACTGGACAAATTGACACCAAATTTGGACACAAGACACCTCTCAGGCCAATGAGTGACCATCACTCATAAAAACACTGAAAAACACAGCAGAAGGGACTTAAAAAGCAAAAAGACACTACAGCGCATGTGCAAAAATGACTCCCCCAGCAAACAAAACACACAATAGCATATCCACACTCTCTTCTGGACTACAGCTCCCAGAATCCCCTAGACCAGGCCCTTTAGGAGAGGAGGATGATCCAAATGCACTGCTTCCAAGATATAAAGCTTTCTTCTCCTTGGATCTCTTTGAGAGCATCCCAACCCCTGCATATTTCCAATTTCCTATTCCTGGACTGCAACTCCCAGCAATCCTCCAGATAGACAGATTAGATAGAGATAGGTAGGAAGGTAGATAGCTCAATCAGGAGGACTGCTGGGAGTTGCAATCCAAGAATAGGTAGAGAAGGAAGGGGAAAAGAGGAAGGGAAAGAAAAGGGGGAAGGAAGGGAAGAGGAAGAGAAGGAAGGAACGAGAGAAGGAAAGAAAAGAAGGGAAGGAAGGAAGGAAAGGAAGGAAGGAGGAGAGAAAGAGGTAGAAAAGGTTGGCCACAGCAACGCGTGGCGGGTACAGCTATTAAATATACAAATAAATATGCCGACAGGCTACCATTTCACCTCTGCCAAGGTGCATTAAACAAACCAACTTCCCACTATTAGCATGAAAGAAAGTACAGACATCTGAACGTTCCAAAAAGTGTGTCACGTTTTATTAAAGCAATCTTACAATCCCAATCTAACATTTATTATTATCTGCATTATTCATATGGCTGTAGATCCAGACAGATACATGGAACATATGAAAGGCACAGTGCAATGTATCTTTTTCGGAGAAGACTTAATATTCTTTGTCATTAGACAAGAGGAAAGGAGTAGGCTTATGTATTTGGAATGTTTTGAGAACTGCCCAACTGGCAATGTCCAAAGGAAGGAACACACACACACACACACACACATATATGTGGAATGAACCTATTGAAACCACAGGTTGAATAAGGAAAACAAATCTCAGCCAAAGTTCCATCGCAATATTTGAATGTTAACATCCAGAAGTCAAAACAATCAAGAGAAACAAATGTAAACATGATTCTATGATTCTATAAAATGCACATTGAGAGCTGAAATCACCACTGGAAGAGAAGAGTCTTAGCCTGGCATCTTCTGAAAGGGATTTTAGTAGATTGGAGATCAGTACAGAGTGATCTATATTGATAATGGCATTGGACAAAGCTCCTCAAAGTAGTTCTTGTATCAGGAGAGCAGTGAATCTGTTCTGGGCTTCGGAGAGCAAAAAAAAAAGCAATCCAAGGCTTCAAACCTCTTTAGAGCAGTGTTTCTCAACCTGGGGATTGGGACTCCTGGGGGGTTTGCAAGGGGGTTTCAGAGTGGTCACCAAAGACCATCAGAAAACATATATTTCTCATGGTCTTAGGAACCCCTTTGGTAGAGCCTGCCCTTCTCTTCCTTTTGGAAACATATGGCGAATCCTCGCACCAAATGTTCCCCTCTGCTGTGATTGGGGAGGACTATTTCAGAAACTCCAAGCAGGGAGGGGAGAGCAGGCATACTCAGCACATGGTAGCGTAGTGCCTGTGTGCGGGTGAGGGAGAGCATGTGAGACAGAAGGGAGGCTCGCACCAGGGATCTGTGTGGGAAGTTTGGCCCAAATCTATCATTGGCGGGGTTCAGAATTCTCTTTGATTGTAGGTGTACTATAAATCCCAGCAACTACAACTCCCAAATGACAAAATCATAATTTTTTGAGTGATGGTCACTCCTTGTGTTGCGAGACGTTTTGTTGCCAAATTTGGTGTGATTTCGTTCATTGATTCTTTTGTTTTTAAGGTACTCATTATGCACAGAGCATTTTTATATAGAGCAATTACCCGTCGTACCATTCAGAAAGCCTCAATCAAATGGATTCAAATGCTTAGGAGAGATCTCCCAGAAAAATAGAGAAAATATACAACTACATCTAGATCCAGGTAAAGCAAACACCAAGAAGGGTAAGTATCCAATCATTAAGTATACTTTGACTTTGCTAACGTAAGGCCGGGCATCGACCAACGAAGTTGCAATGGAAATAGCAGTTCATCAACGTTTGAGAGGCTGACTATGAAGTATAGAGCAGAAGTAAACAACAAGTGATCTTCCAGACGTGGAAGTGGGAGTCCACCAATATTGACAAGGCCATGCATCTCCCACTCCCAACATACAGGATACACTAGAATGATTCTTCAACACTTTCCTACCAAAGGAATTGCAGCATTACCCATGTCATTTGATCCTTTGATGTAGCGCCACTAAACACTTGGTGACAAAGCCTAGAGACATGGATATTAGGCATGTGCAATCCATTAAAAATGGTTCAAAAGTACTTACAAAACTGGGAGACCCTGGCGCTCCATTTCTAAAGTGTTTCTAAAGTTTTGTTAGACTATAACAAGACTAACAAAATTTCGTTACTATTTCGTTCTACTAATTGCGCATGCGCATTAATGCAGTAATTACTACCATTGGGGAAAGTTTAGGGACTCCGATCTCCCTCATTTTTAAAGCTATTGAGTTGAAACTTGCAACAATGGTAGAACACATTTACCACTGTCAGCCCACCAATCTCTTATCCATTGATTTTTGGGGAATTTTCTAAGTTTTTATAAAAACATTTTTTTAATATTAAAGAAAATCTGTTCCTGGTTTGAAAGTGTTATTTCCTGTTTCATTGTGCGGTCTTTACTTTGAAAGTAGTTGTTCTACTCCAGAAACTTTGTTTTTGTGGCAGAAACTTTGTTAAATTGGTGGCTACTCAACAAAGGAAAATGTGCAATAGGACGATGTCCCTTGGGCAAAGAGTTTTTGCAGCATAATAAACTTTCACCATGTTTTTTTTTTGACAGAACCAATTAGGAACTGCCATTTATAACCCAGGAACAGAAATCATAGTATAGACACCATAAAGGGACATCTAGACTGACCCTCCTTCTTCCAGGCAGAAAGGCACAATTCAAACTCTCCTGACATCCAATTAAGAGCTTGTATTTTATTCTATTTTTGATATTTTATTGTTGTATTCTTATGTTGTACATTTGTATTGGTGTTCTTCTGGGCTTGGCCCCTTGGGGAGATGGTGGCGGGGTATAAATAAATAATTATTATTATTATACTTCCCTTATTGAGTTGGAGAGGACCCCCAAGACCTATCCATTTAGGTCATTATTATTTTTTCCAGCCCAGCACAGAGATTGGCTTACTTATTAGAGAGAGATGTATCTATTAGTCCTCCTCTTTGCAGATTGTGGCTGCTATTAGGGAGGGACGGACCTCTCTCCCCGCTATCTTGATTGGTGCCTTCTGATGCTAATGCAGTCTGGGAAATGTAGTTAAGGGCAGGTACATGGCACCTCGCTTCCCAAACTACTTTTGCACATGTACATACTTAAATTATTATAATTTGGAAACTTCAGGGGCTCCTATCTCCCTCATTTTAAAAGCTATTGGGGTGAAACTTGCTACAACGGTAGAACACATTTACCACTCTTTGCTCATCAAGTTTCATAAGATTTCACTTATACACGGATTTTTGGGGAATTTTCAAAGTTTTTATAAACAACATTTTTTTTAAAAAAACTACAAGAGCTAGTTCCTTGAGTTTTCTACATAATGACACAAGATAACAGAGGATCATTCCTCCCAACTTTCAGAAATATTCATAAATCTACTCATTTTAGGGAATTTTTCTTAGTTTTGTTAAAAACCGACTGTTTAGGGAGAAACAAATATCTATCTCCTCTCCTGATTGATGCTTTCTCATTCTGATGCATACTGGGAAATGTAGTTTAGGGCAGAGCCTTTTGAATTCTTTGGCATAGGGCTCCTCCCCTTCCCAAACTACATTTCCCAAGTTCTGTTCTGTTCCCAAAATGCAATGCTTCCAAGAAGCAAACCATTGAGCCTTCACACAGAGAAGCTATTGATCTGCAGGAAGATGAATGGCAAAGGAGGCAGGTTCAGTAGTTTACTAGTTGTTTTTAGGCTTCCTTTTACTGACTTAGCTAACTTTCTTACCTTGCACGGAAGGAAACTCACTTTGGGTGCCTTCTGAGCTTTACCAAACAATAACAAAAAAGTATTGGGTCAGTTTTGATTCTTAAGTTTTTGGTGTGGGCCACTCAGACGCTTCCAAAACTTCCAATTTTCTTACGATTTCTGATTCATCCGATTTTTTTGCACACCTCTAACAAATTGGTCTATCAAGTCCAATGGTCCCTCGTTTTCAAAAAGTGCTTCTTTAAGAGAAAAATAAAACATCCTGCAGTCACTGTGAACTCATTGCATTGAAACTTTTGATTTAAAAAACCTACACGTTTGGTAGGAACAGATTTTTCCATAAATCAAAATATGTTGTATTCGTGGTCACAGTATCCTGTGAAAAGTGGCTCAGCCCGGATTCCGCGCCTGCAACAAGAGAAGAGAGGAATAAAATGGGTCAATAGATGATTATATGCAAAGAAACTTTTTAAAAATAAAGTACAAAACTTTTGAGCTGGTGCTTTGCAAAGTGTGCCTTGTGCCCTTTAATGCTACTCACGACTGCACAATTATGCAAGAGCCCAGATAAATCTACGGATTAGGATGGAGAAGTTCCAACACATACAAGCTAGACGTGTTGACTTAAAGAAACCCAGTGCATACTGTCAAAATGGCCAACTGATTCTCCTTGCCATGTGTTGGGGTTCAGCCTGAGTTTGAACTTGAACCTGATTCTCTGTTTGTTCCTCCTGATGCTAATGAAAATATATTTACTGATGCTAATGGAAATGTACCTCTTGATGCCAATGCTCCTGAAATTAGTGAGGAAGAAACTGCTGTAGGTTTGGAAAATGCCAATGTTCCTGAAATTAGTGAGGAAGGAACTTCTGTAGATTTGGAAAATGAAAGTACCAGTGTTCATGAGAATGTTTCAGAGGGAGACCTTGACCTTTCCCTCTCTTCTGCACCTGTTAACTGTAATGACAACAGAAGGGGCCAAATTTGGGAAGACAGAAGTAAATCACTCAGTTTGCGTCGATCCTCCCGAATTCAAGAATTAAAAACATTGGCTTCAAAACAGAAGGGCGGTTCACGGAACCAATTCTTGAGCTTTAATTGCCTTACGCCGGGCTGACTGTCTCAGTTCAGGCATCGTTTCAGAATTGATGAAGACCTTGGCAGTTCTCCCGGTTCCCTGGCCATAGTTTGGGAAGATTTCTAGGATATCAAGTACGGTTAGTGGATTGCTAACAGGTTCCAGTATTTCACAGTGAGGCTTTTGGTTTTGCTTTGTCCATTTAAATTCATGTTTGCTGATTTTGCTGTGGCTTTTGACTTACATTTTTCCTTTATTTTGTAACCATTTTTCTTCAATAAAAAAGGATTGTTTTTCAGTCAAGTGTGGTGGATAGTTATCGTAGGGCCTCGTTCCCTGCTCTGGATTGCAACACCATGGCTGATGGGTGTTGAAGTCAAAATACTTTTCAACTTGAGAACACCCGGATAATGAAAGATGCCGTAAAGCAGTGGTGCCCAACTTTTGGTCCTCCAGATGTTTCGGACTTCAACTCCCAAAAAAAGCATTTGTTTTTGTGTTCTATTTTGTTAAGAAAAGGTGACGTTACCTGAGCAGAAGGCACCGGAAGTCTGCCAGCCTCGCATAGGCATCTTGCAAGTCCCTGACAGTCTGGTTGCTCCATAATCTCTCTGCTACGGCCCCAGCTCTAGGCCTTAAGGAAAATAAATATCCTTAAAACAGATTTTTATAATTTACTAGCCATCCCCTGCTACTGTGGCCCAGTCTGTGTATATGTGTTTTCTGTATGTGTATATGTATATATATGTGATTTTGAATGCGTTGTAATGTATTTTTTATTTTTTGGCTTTTAAAGTCTTTTCCGCTTTGTTTTTCAGGGTTTTTATGAGTGATGGTCACTTGTTGGCCTTTGTGTCCAAATTTGATGTCAATTCGTCAAGTGGTTTTTGAGTTATGTTAATCCCACAAACTAACATTACATTTTTATTTATATAGACTAGCTGTACCCGCCACGCGTTGGACACTAGGCAAGTGAAGTTTATATATCTGTGGAATAACGTCCAGGGTGGGAGAAAGGACTCTTGTCTGTTGGAGGCAAGTGTGAATGTTGCAAGAAATCACCTTGATTAGCATTGCAAAGCCCGGGGGAATCCTTTGTTGAGAGGTGATTAGCTGTCGCTGATTGTTTCTTGTCTGGAGTTCCCCTGTCTTTATTTACTGTTATGATTTTAGAGGTTTTTTTAATACTGGTAACCAGATTTTGGAGGCCCAAAAACCTTTCAGAGTGTCTCTCAGGATATTAACAGTGCAACTCAAGCAAATGTTAAGGGCAATTAGACCTTGAAAACAGTTGCATTAATCCTGAGATTTCAATGTAAGGCTGTTAAAGACGTTGTTAACTGATTCACTAAATCACCAAATTATGGGAAGGGTTTTTTTTTAAATGGCAGAAATGACCAATCATGACTTAAACCGACAAGAAGTGGCAACCTTTACTCAAAATAACACCACAGGTGCCTCCATATTGAAATAATGAATTTTTTTAATTGTTGAAAAATTAATGAATTGGGGGAAGGAAGCGAATTAATTTTTAATGAATGATTTCCAAGCCCTGTTCATAATTGGGATTATGAATATTAAAATTTAATAATAGGCTCGCATATTGGTTCCTAAAAAAAGGAACTGCTGAACATTCTCATTCTTTTCCAGCTGGGACGGAAGACGTGAAATGGGAGAAATGTGTGCGTTGACCCGGCAGGAAATGGCGTCTCCCGAAGAATCTATCACGCAAACCAGACATTATCTGCCTACATATAGGAACATACTACGACCCCCATATTCATGGAAGATGCATTTCCTGACTTTGCATGGATACCCCAAACCACAGATAATAGTGAACCATTTTTTAGGACTTCTGGCCTAAGAACTCTTAGAAAATGCTTAGGTAAAGGTAAATGTTTCTCCTGATATTAAGTCTAGTCGTGTCTGACTCTGGAGGGTGGTGCTCATCTCTAAACTGAAGAGCCGGCATTGTCCATAGACATCTCCAAACTCATGTGGCCAGTATGACTGCATGGAGCGCCATTACCTTCCCGAAGAAGCAATACCTATTGATCTACTCACACTTGCTAGGTTGGCACAAGCTGAGGCTAACAGTGGGAGCTCACCTTGCTCCCTGGATTCAAACTGTCAACCTTTCAATCAGCAAGTCCAGCAGCTCAATGGTTTCACCCGTTGCGCCACCGCAGCCCATTCCATGTGGACTGAAACCTATTCCCAAGCTGGTTCAGCAACTTCTCAAGTTCCTTCAAAGTTGGACTACACCCCATAACAGATTCACTTACACAGAACCAACAAGCCTCCATGACTGCATGGAGTGCCGTTACCTTCCCACAGAAACGGAAGGGGTTGGACTGGATGACCCATGAGATCTCTTCCAACTCTATGATTCTATTGATCTACTCACGTTTGTATGTTTTCAAACTGCTAGGTTGGCAGAAGCTGGGCTTAACGACGGGAGCTCACCCCACTTCCCGGATTTGAACCACCAACCTTTTGATTGGCAAGTGCAGCAGCTCAGAGGTTTAACCCACTGCACACTGAGAGCTCCCAACTACCTGATGCTCCCCTTACTAACTTTCAATGGTTAGGTTGTGTTATTACTGCTTCATTTGGAATATTATCTCACTACAGGGCAGCATAGTGCAATGGTCACTGATCTCACCAGAGTCTCGGGGTCAAGTTGGTCACATCCACGTATTCGCCCCACATACAGGCCTCCCCGCCGATTACCAGTTCCTTCTGCTCTGGGGTGCCTGTCCGGAAAAGTCAAAGATGTGTCGTTCAGTCAATGAGTCTCATTTATATTGGCCACCCAGGTGAGTGAACACAAGCGAACGCACCTTCGAAGGCGAGAGGCTCCACCTGGTAAACCCCGACCCAGTCCTGGCCGTAAGAGATGTGGTTTAGATACCAAGGGGCGGAGAGCAGAGCCCGGTAGCCGGCTTTGGTGACACGAGCCGTCTCCTCTTGGTATGATCCACCATTCTCCTTCCACACATGAATGACCGTCTCGGGCTTCACCTAGTCAAAAGAAGGAGTGCACGAGATATTGGACCTTTCTGGCCTGTTTTAGATCCAGATTAGTCTGTTATTTTCCCAAACTAGAACGCTATAGTCATCCCTCCACATTTGCTGGGTACAGAAAGTGGGAAAATAGACTACTGCAACGTGCTCTCGTGGGGTTGCCTTTGAAGACTGTCCAGAAGCTTCAAATTGTCCAACGGATGGAAGCCAGATTATTAACAGGAGCAGCGCCCAGGGAGCATAGAACTCCCCTGTTGTGCCAGCTCCACTGGTTGCCAGTTTGCTACCGGGCACAATTCAAAGTGCTGGCTTTAACCTATAAAGCCCTAAACGGTTCTGGCCCAATTTATCTGCCCGAACACTTCTCTCCTTATGAACCTTCCAGGACTTTAAAATCTTCTGGGGAGGCCCTGCTCTCGGTCCCGCCTACGTCACAAGTACATTTGGTGGGGATGAGAGACAGGGCCTTCTCAGTGGTGGCCCCTTGGCTATGGAACACCCTCTCCTAAGGATATCAGATTGGCCCCCTCCATTTTGACCTTTCGAAAAAGAGTCAAGACTTGGCTTTTTGAGCAGGCGTTTGCAAATACAGCGTAACAGACATAGGAAAATGGAATGGTTGACGATGTGACTGGACAATATTTTAACAAGAAGACTCGAATGATATGTGTTTTTAATTGACTTTGCTATGGTTTTATATTCTCTGATTGTTTTTATGGTATTGAAATTGTATTATATGGTCTTGGTACCAACTGTACACCGCCCGAGTCGTCTAGTAAAAGGGATAATAAATAAATAAATGAAACAGTGACTCTGTGGCAGGCATGGGCAAACTTGGGCCCTCCAGGTGTTTTGGACTTCAATTCCCCCATTCCTTTTTTTTTTTTTTGCTTTTTCCCCCTTTTATTTGATACATCCCAACAATCAACAAATTTTTGCCATACAGGACTTATTTCAATATACATCATTCCAAAAATAAATATTCCTAAAATGACATTCTATACATTCCTTAGTTATGTATCGCCCAACAAACCCCCCTCCCCCCATTCCCCCCACCCCCCTGGAACAGCAATTCTAAATCATGTCATTGCATCAATTTAACCGTGTGGAAAGCCTAGTTCATAATGTCCTAGTCATCTGCAAACCAAATCAACAATTGGGTCACACCGTTTACAGAAAACCCACACACACACACAGATAGATATCTACATCAAAACTCCAACCATCACCCAAGTCAAAAAAGAAGCACCATTAAAGCCTTGGCAGACCGTGCAAAAAGAATCTGCGAACCCCACCTCCTCCAAGATGAACTGAACCACCTCAACTGGGCTCTCCAGGCCAATGGATACTCCACCTCAGACATCAGAAGAGCTGCAAGTCCAAGAACAAGCCACGAGAGTAAAGATGAAGATCCACCCAGAGGAAAAGTGTTCCTGCCATACATCAAGGGAACCACTGACCGCATAGGGAAGCTGATGAGGAAACACAACATACAAACAATCTACAAACCCACCAAGAAAATCCAACAAATGCTACGTTCAGCAAAGGACAAGAGGGATGCTCTCACCTCTGCAGGAGTCTACCGTATACCATGCAGCTGTGGACAAGTCTACATAGGGACCACCAAACGCAGCAGCCCAAACACGCATCAAGGAACATGAAAGGCACTGCAGACTACTTCAACCAGAGAAGTCAGCCATAGCAGAGCACCTGATGAACCAACATGGACACAGCATATTATTTGAGAACACAGAAATGCTGGACCACTCTAACAACACCATGTCAGACTATACAGAGAAGCCATTGAAATCCACAAGCATGTGGACAATTTCAACAGAAAGGAAGAGACCATGAAAATGAACAAAATCTGGCTACCAGTATTAAAAAACTCAAAAATTACAACAGTAAAGCAACAGAGGGGAAACAAACAGGCACATAAAATCACTCTCAACAAAAGATTCCCCCCCAGGCACTTCCAAGCCATTGAATGCTAATCAAGGTGATCAGCTGAAACATTCACAGCTAGCCCCAGCAGACAAAAGTCCTTTGTCTCACCCTGGTCATTCCACAGATATATAAACCCATTTTTCCTACTTCCAACAGACCTCACTACCTCTGAGGATGCTTGCCATAGATGCAGGTGAAACGTCAGGAGAAAAATTGCCTCCAGAACATGGCCATATAGCCCGGAAAAACCTACAACAACCCAGTGATTCCGGCCATGAAAGCCTTCGACAATACACGAGTTCATAATGTTGTATCTGTTGTCTCCGTCTATTCTGTCAATTAACACAGACCATTTCCTAAACCAGTCTTGTTCTATTTGTCTATTTATATACTTGTTTTTCCTTTGATTGATAAAATCATTAATTATATTTTCTGATAGATAGGTCCACCAGGTTTCCAAATCCCATTTTCTATCGTCTCTCCATCCCTGGGCTATCGTGGCCTGTATTGCGGCTGTCATATATTTTAGGATTTCTGTCCAATTACTATCTTCCTTTACCTTTATGGTGAGGGACATGAACCTGGCATTATCCCACATTAATTCTTTCCCTATTATGTCTTCCATCACCATCCTTATTTTACCATAATAGTTCTGAATTTTGATACAATCCCACCATGTGTGGGAGAATGAACCGAGCCCCCCACAGTTGTGCCAACATTTGTTTGAGACATTTGCCACAATGTGTGCTAATTGGGTGGGGGTTCTATATCATTTGGAGATTATTTTCCTTTGGGTTTCTTTGATCCTCAAATGTTTAATTTTATGAATTCCCCCATTCCTAACAGCCTACCAGATTTTAGGAATTGTGGGAGTTGAACTCCAAAACACCGGGAGGGTCTAAGTTTGCCATGCCTACTCTAGGGAGTGAAATCGCTTTCCGAAATCCCAGGGAGTAAAATCAGGCAATGGTAATTCTTTGAAATGTGGCACAAAGGGCTTCAATTTTCAAATCATTGTTAACGAAAAGATTTTTAGTTTTCCGAGGGCCTTTTTTGTGGAATTCCCAAAAACAGAAAGGGGAAGAGAAAGATGAAAAAAACAGCAAAACGAATTCAGAGAGAGGATATTTTCGGAAAGAGTTGAGTCCACAAAATACGTGAAACGGGGGATCTGTGATGTCTTTTTCTCGGAGCATGACCAGAGTTGAAGCTTTTCTGTGTGTCTCTCAGCCAATAAAAAGCCTGGTGGTGTCCATGCTCTGATTGGCCGAGAATGGACACCGCCGGCAACTACAATTCCCAGAACCCTCTCTTGCGGTTTGTCTTATTTAAAAAATATATTATGTTTAAAACTTAAAATAATTCTAAAAAAAATCAGAAGATTGGTGAATTGTTTTGAAACTTGGCGAGTCTGCAGTTCCAAATGGGGTCTACAAACTGAGGGAGGTTCATGCAAATAGACCTTAAAATGGCTGAGGATTGAGCCTTTAAAATTTCCCATTGTAGCCAATGAGCCAAATCTCTGCCAAATGAAACGGGAAACATCCCTCCCCTTTTCGGTAACTTTCTGGTAAACGAAATGAAGAGTCAGACGAAAACAAATCTGAAAACAGCAGGCCTTTTGGCCTAAATGCACATGACTAATATTTTTTTCACATGTGGTGGATCTGTCATAAAGCCCATGCATATTGGAGAGCTGTTAAGGAAATAATCCAAAGGATTTTGCAACAAAATATATTGCTTTTACCAGAGATATTTTTTGTTGGGATTAGCAAAAAATGACATCAATAAGAAAAATATGGTTTCCTTTCAAAACGCTATAACAGCTGTATGAATAGGTTATGCCATACACTAGGAAACATATATTATATACCAACATATTCTATAAACTGAATTCTGCAAAATTTAGTAGTTTGCTCCACCATTCACTTACAGATGAAATAATAATCTGTAAGTGAATAGTGGAGCAAACTACTAAATTTTGCAGAATTCAGTATATAGAATATGTTGGTATATAATATGTATGCTTTGGAAATAATAATAATAATAATAATAATAATAATAATAATAATAATAATAATGAGGAATCTCAAGGTCCTCCAGTGTGACTATGAGGTGAAATAGCTTTCTGAAATCCCAGAGAGTAAAATGAGGCAATGGTATTCCTTTCTATTCTCCTCATGGACTAGTGTTTGGGAGATCAAGGTTCTAGTCCCAATGGAGCCATGACACTCACTAAGTGGCCTTGATGCAGTGTGACCTACTTTAAAGGGTTTGTTGTAAGAATAAAGAGATGAGGAGGGTAGTCATATTTATGTATTGATATCAATATAGCAAGGGAGAAATAACAAGAATGCAACAAACCCACCTTCACTTCGTTATCAAAGACCTCCTGCCATACCACATAACCCTTGTCATAGGAAGAGACAATATCCAGCAGCCTGAAATAAAGAGAGCGTTTGCTGAATGCAAGGATTTGTTTCCCATTCATTCCAAATCCTGGGTTCTCCCCCTCATTGATTTCCCCTTGCCCTAACATTATTATTTTATTATTTGTTATTATTTACAGTATTTATATTCCGCCCTTCTCACCTCGCAGGGGACTCAGGGCAGATTACAATCTACATATATATATGGCAAACATTCAATGCCATAGACACACAACATATATAGACAGACACAGAGGCTATTTAACATTCCAGCTTTTTCATGAGGGTATTCTGGCCACCAGGGGAGCTGTCGCTTCACCATCCATTTGTGACACTGATGAAGTACTTCCTCATTCTTTGCATACTTGCTGGAGATTTTTATGGTGTCATAAATTAGCCTCCCCGCATAAGCGGTACCTAAATTTCCTACTTGACAGATGCAACTATCTTTCGGGCTGCAAAGGTTGACAGCAAGCTACACAAATTGGTCAGAAGCTCACTTCGACCCGGTCTGGCTTTGAACTCATGACATTTTGGTCATTAGTGATCTTAATGCAGCTGACTCCCAGCCAGCTGTGCCACAGTCCCAGTGCTGAAAGTTTTTAAACCAACCAGGAGCATCTCCTATGCAAATCAAGACGTACATATATCAACAGAAGTGGAGGACAACCAAGATACAGAATAAGTCACCTAACAGCGCAACCTGATAAAAGATTATTTAGAAAAATATCCCAGTGACCTCAAGCCCCTATCTTTTCATACACAGTGAGAGAAACATTGCTTGGAAGACTGGCAGTGTCACTCTGGAAGATCTTGGAGCTAAAATCAAGCTCACAACAACAAAACACTGGAGACAAGTGGTTTATTCCTTCTTTCCACAATCCTGAAGTTTTCCTACTCAAACCCCCAACTCCCATCCACCCCCTAGTGGCCAAACACTGTGCCCACAGCCTGTTAATTGCAATTTCAATTTCCCTCACAAAACAGATGTCTTATCTCCTTCTATGAACCGACACAAACTCTAAGATCTTCCAGGGAGGCCCTCCTTTCGTTCCCACCACTGTGACAAGTACGGTTGGTGGGGACAAAAGAGAGGGCCTTCTCGGTGGTGGCCCCCCGCCTTTGGAATACTCTTCCAAGGGAAATTAGACCTGGTGGTTTTAACAAGCCTTTGAGAATGACCAGTTCTAGCCCAGCCTAAAACACTGTTGAATATGGCCTTATACTTCCTACCTATTACCCCGGTCATGCCTCTAATAAGCCCTGGAAATGAGCAGTCACAGACCCGTACCTGCTATTGCCATTAGTCTGTTATAACACGGTACTTAATTCCCAGTCCCCTCATATTTTGAGTTTGCACTAGCCTCGGCCCGGCCTTTTAATTGCTCTGAACAGGCAGGATTATTTTTTAATATATATGTGTTATTGTGATAATTTTATGCTTATGTTATTTTGTTAATTTTAAGTTATGCTGTTTACACTGTATGTTTTGGTGATGTTGCTTGGAAAACGCCCTGAGTCCCCCTCAGGGAGATAGAGCGGTATATAAATAAAGTTTATTATTATTATTATTTATCTACACTACCTCCCTAACTGTACCCAGCCTCCCTTCCCCGCATCTCCCTTCTTTATGGCAGAGAACCAAAGCAGCCAGTCCCAGGCTGATACAATGATCCTTCCTCTAGAAAGCAGCTCCTCGATTGCCCTAGGATGATGGGCATTGTAATCTAGCACCGATAGAGATAATTTGGTTTGGGAGAGAAGGCTTTTGCAGCATGCACACTCCTGGCAATTGGTAGGAAGGGCCATTACCTTTGGATGTAGAAGGACTCCAACATGGTGAAGTTTGTGCCAAACCCCATTTTCTGCATGAATTCCTGGATGTCTGGATTAGACTTCCTACATGAGAAGGATCAAGGCAGAAATAGGCAATGAATCAACCCAAGCCCTTGTGCAACAAACCTTCTAAGGCCAAATCCTCCAATCCTATGCACGAATTGTAGTTATGTAGACATTGAGAATTACATAAAGCAGAATTCTTCATGTTCACTTCCTCTTAGAGACCATGACATCAAAATCCACTTCTCAAGAGCACAAGGAGGAAACTATTAGCCACTGAGAAACAGAAGTAAGGACAGTCAGCTCTCCACATTTGCTGGCGTTAAGGGTTTGGGATGCCCAACAAAAGTGGAAAAAGCACATAGTTATAGGTAAAGGTAAAGGTTTTGCTTGACATTAAGTCCAGTTGTGTCGGACTCTGAGGGTTGGTGCTCATCTCCATTTCTAAACCGAAGAGCTGGCATTGTCCGTAGACACCTCCAAGGTCACGTGGCCAGTATGACTGTATGGAGCACTGTTACCTTCCCGCCGGAGCGGTACCTATTAATCTACTCACATTTGCATGTTTTTGAACTGTTGGCAGAAGCTGGGGCTAACAGGGAAGCCCACCCTGCTCCCCAGATTCAAACTGCCGACCTTTCGGTCAGCAAGTTTAGCACCTCAGCGGTTTATTTATTTATTTTATTTATTTACAGTATTTATATTCCGCCCTTCTCACCAGCAGGGGACTCAGGGCGGAATACAGTGTACACATATATGGCAAACATTCAATGCCAATTTTGACATACAACATATACAGACATAGACAGAGGCTATTTAACTTTTTCTGGCCACCAGGGGAGCTGTCACTTTCATCATCCATCTGCGACGCTGATGAAGCACTTCTGCATTCCCCGCATGCTTCCCCGCTGGAATGCTTTGCTGGAGTCTTCTTTATGGCCTCATAAATCAGTTAATTTAGCCTCCCCACACTTTTAAGGTGGTACCTTGTTTTCCTACTTGACAGATGCAACTGTCTTTCGGGTTGCAAAGGTCAACAACAGGCTACACATAATTGGTTGGAAACCCAGTCCAACCCGGGCTGGCTTTGAACTGATGACCTTTTGGTCAGAGTGATCTTAATGCAGCTGACACTCAGCCAGCTGCGCCACAATCCCGGTTTAACCCACTGCACCTCCAGGGGCTCAAATTTATAAGGGCTACTTAACTTGAGATAACACCTTCCTAGGAATCTCTGGCTTCTTTAGCACAACGTAATGGTCAAGTTCTGAAAAAAGTTACTCTGAAGGAGCTAGAGGTTCCTAAATACTTTATTTACTTACTTACTTACTTACTTACTGTATTTGTATACCGCCTTTCTCAGCCTGTAGGCGACTCAAGGCGGTTAACAGGGCAAAATTCAATAATAAAATATTCAAAATAAAATAAAAAATAAAATAAAAATTCAAAAATAAAAATATCCCTCCCCTCTCCCCTGCAGCTCCCAACACCTCATGTCTCCCCTCTTTCATCTCCACATCCTTTCAAAAGAGGCAAAACCAACCAGCACGTGAAGTCAACCTCGTCTCCTCCCAGGTGTAGGTAGAAGTCCGGAAACACTAGACTAACTTCGTCAAAAAACTTGGTCATGACCTCATATGTTGTATTGAGGATTGGGTTGACGGGCCCATAGGCTCCAGAGAGCTTCTGGCCTACGTAGCAGGGAGTCAGCAAGCCAGGAACACCTGATAACAAAACAAAAACGCTGCGCTTCAGTTCTAGGCCCCAAAATCCAAGAAGAATATTGATAAACTATGAAATAAGGAGCATCAGAAAAGGGCCAGAGGGAGATTCTTGCAAAGTACAGAAAACATTCATTCACCTGATCATCTCTTACCTGGACCCCAAGACTGGGTGTGGCCAGGAGTGTCAAATTCCGGGATCACCCTGATCCCACGCAGCCGGGCGTGCTCAAGCACGATTTTGACATCGGTAGGTGTGTACACATGGGTGGCAGGGTTGTAGGCCCCCTGAAAAAACACAGTGTCAACGGTGCCTTGTCTATTCTTAACTGTTGCTGGCTCTGGTGCCCGGTGGGCAGAGTAGTGCCCCTGGGCGAGTGGCACTCTATGCAAATGCTTAATCTGCCTAATGGTTCAGCCACCCCTGCTGATGTTTCAGAGGGATCAGAGAGGAGAGATGTACAGTTTACCTTCCTGCTGAGGTCCGGGAATGCCACGCTCTCATAGGGAAAGGAAGGGTCATCCACTATGTGCCAGTGAAACACATTGAACTTGTTGTAGGCCATGGCGTCCTGGGGATTCGGAGAACAGCTGAAAGTCACTCCTGCCAGACTCAGAGGAGACATTCATTAACCATTTATTTATTGATTAGCAGTTATTGCTGGAAGATGTTCTGCCAAGTTCACCTAGGGTTCAAAACAAACAGGCTGCATTCAACCTGTTCTGTGCATATTGATGCTTTCCCATCAGGCATGGGCAAACTTGGGCCCTCCAGGTGTTTTGGACTCCAAAACACCTGGAGGGCCCAAGGAAGGGGCCTGAGGCTGTTAGGAATTGTGGGAGTCAGAGTCCAAAACACATGGAGAGCCCAAGTTTGCCCATGCCTGTCTAGATGATAAAAGTGAGCATGGATCGCTATATATTCTATACAGGAAGTTCCCAAGTTATAAACAAGATAGGTTCTGTAGGTTTGTTCTTAAGTTGAATTTGTATGCAAGTTGCTACAGGAATAATTTTTTTAAGTGTAACTAATGTCACGTATGTATATACGTGTATGTGTGTGTGTATATATATATATATATATCTGATAAGTGTTGGAAATGTTCAGAACAAATGGGTTCCTTCTACCATATGTGGTGGACTTGTAAAGAAGCAGTAAAGTTTTGTCCCGGTGTTGTAGGTTTTTTCGGGCTATATGGCCATGTTCTAGAAGCATTCTCTCCTGACGTTTCGCCTGCATCTATGGCAAGCATCCTCAGAGGTTGTGAGGTCTGTTGGAAGTAGGAAAAATGGGTTTATATATCTGTGGAATGGCTGGGGTGGGGCAAGGAGCTCTTCCCTGCTACAGTTAGGTGTGAATGTTTAGCTGATCACCTTCATTAGCATTTGAAGGCCTGCCTGAGCCTGGGAAAATCTGTTGCTGGGAGGTGTTAATCTGTGCCTGGTTTTTTCCTCTCTGTTGTTTAGCTGTTGTAATTTTAGAGTTTTTTAATACTGGTAGCCAGATTTTGTTCATTTTCATGGTCTCTTCCTTTCTGTTGAAATTGTCCACATGCTTGTGGATTTCAATGGCTTCTCTGTGTAGTCTGACATGGTGGTTGTTGGTGTGGTCCAGCCTTTCTGTGTTCTCAAATATGCTGTGTCCAGGCTGGTTCATCAGGTGCTCTGCTATGGCTGACTTCTCTGGTTGAAGTAGTCTGCAGTGCCTTTCATGTTCCTTGATTCGTGTCTGGGCAGCTGCGTTTGGTGGTCCCTCTGTAGACTTGTCCACAGCTGCATGGTATATGGTAGACTCCTGCAGAGGTGAGAGGATCCCTCTTGTCCTTTGCTGAACGGAGCATTTGTTGGATTTTCTTGGTGGGTTTGTAGATTGTTTGTATGTTGTGTTTCCTCATCAGCTTCCCTATGCGATCACCCTTTTGGAGGGTAATTCATTAAGAGACGCAAAAGATCTTAAAAAGAACTTTTAGAAGAAAACCAGAGTATTACTTGTTAGGCTTTACAGATTTGGATTTACAATTGACGGAACAAGAGGACAAACTTTTTACATATACAACAACTGCCACTAGAATTGTTTTTGCTAGAGAGTGGAAGCAAGGCTCAGTACCACCCGTACAGGATTGGGTGGAAAAAATCAGAGAAATAAAGGACATGGACGAACTGACTTTTTTGTTGAAGAAAAATACAGGCATGATAATAAAAAGAACGAATTGGGACAATCTTCATGACTATCTGGACAATTTGCGAATATAAAAAACAAGAGAGACAATTTTATTATCTTTAATTAAAAATTTTTATATTTTTGAATAATAAGAATATTTTATCCAAGAAGATGGAATGGAAGTCACTTTTTTCTTTTTCTTTTTTCTATTTTTTTTTTTTGGTGTGAATGTATTCTTGTAGGGTTTTTTTTAGGGTTTTATTTAGGATATCTTTTTTACTTCTTACTTTATTGGCCTTTCCCTCTCTCTTTTTTTCTTTACTTTTCTATACCTAATTGTTCTCACTCTTTCGTTGTATTCTATATAAAATTTAATAAAATTTCTTTTAAAAAAAAAAAAGAGAGATGGAGCTGCTGCCCTCTGACTTACCAGGGTCTCCAGAATGGCACTCAAAGGCAGGTAATGGCGAGACGTGTCCAGCAGAAGACCTCGGTGAGGAAAACGGGGGAAGTCCACAACATCGGTCTTGTTTACATAGAACTTGGCAGGGAAGAAGCAGAGAATATCTATGAGCTGAAGGTGTTCCAATAGCAGATTAAACCAGATCTATAGCTGAAGTAGTTGTGTACTTGGAATCATCAACTCCTAACACCCGGGGTAGATGATACATAGACAGTCACTGTCATGGAAAAATACTGTATCCCTCATCTCTAATGCACGGTATTTTGTAATGATACATAGGCATAAAAATGAAGACTGTGTCAGAAATATTAAAAAATAACTAGGTATTTTTAATTACAAAATGTGAGTCAATAATAATAATAATAATAATAATAATAATAATAATAATAATAATAACAATAATAAAACTTTATTTATACCCCGCCACCATCTCCCCAATGGGGACTCGGAGCGGCTTACATGAGGCCAAGCCTGACAACACATTAAAAAAACAAAAAGCAATAAGCAAATAAAACAATACAATTAATATAACTCACATCTAAACAATAACACACAAGGATTTAAAAAACCCATGGCCGGGCCAAATGTAATAATTTAAAATTTAAAAAGCACTGAAAGGGTTAAATGGATGCAATGACTCAGAAAAACCTGCAGTTCAATATAGGCAGGTGTGCCTGTAGCTTAGGACGCCTCAGTGTTAGTTGCCTTCAGTCTGAGAGAGACCTCAGTATGAGAACGCTCCAGTGTTACGAGAGGCCTTGGTGAGAGAAAGGCCTCAGTGTGGGAGGCCTCAGTATGAGAAGGCTCCAATGTTAGTTTGCCTCAGTATGAGAACGTGTCAGCGTTAGATATCAGGCAAGCCTAATAGCAATCTTCAGGAGGAATCTGAAAACCTGGCTATTCCAATGTGCCTTCAGTGATTGAAAGTAAGAAACTCCCTGGCCAAACTTTGCACTAAATGTCCTTAGAAGCACTTTATTTAGGGTTCGTGCAACTGAATCCTCCCTCATTCTCGGATCCTCATCCTGATAATTTACATTGCCCTATCTCCCAGTGTTTTTAAAATTTTTAGCCTTGAATGTGGCCCTGCCCAGTGAAATCCTCTGTTTTTAATTGCTTGTTTTATATTGTTTGTGTCGTTTATTTTATTTCATTGCATTTTATGTATGTTATTTTCTGGTATTGTTTGTGTTTCTATTATAATGTATGTACTGTACTGACGGGCGTGGCCTCATGTAAGCCGCACTGAGTCCCCCTGGGGGAGATGGAGCGGGGTATAAATAAATGTTTAGTATTATTTATTATTAGTTGCCCTCAGTATGAGAGAAGCCTCAGGATGAGAAGGTCTCAGTATGAGAAGGCTCCAATGTTATTTTGCCTCAGTATGAGAATGCCTCAGTATGAGAGAAGCCTCAGGATGAGAAGGTCTCAGTATTATTATTTTATTCTTTACTGTATTCTCAGCCCTCAGGCGACTCTGGGCGGTTTACAATGGCAACGATTCTATGCCCAAAAACACCATAAAACATTTAAAAACATTAACACATAATATAAAACCATAACAAGAATATTAAAACATAGATCATTGGCGTATGAGAAGGCTCCAATGTTAGTTTGCCTCAGTATAAGAATGCCTCAGTATTAGTAGGCCTCAGTGTGAGGTAAACCTCAGAGTTAGTAGGCTTCAGTGTGTGAGAGGCCTGATAGAAGGCTTCAGTGAGAGAAGCCCCAGGTTGAAGACCTCGTGTGTGAAGCCCCAGTGTGAAGGCTGCTGTGTGTAAAAAGCTACTGTGTGAAGCTCCTATGTAAGTTCGGTGTGAGAGGAAGCTCAGTGAGTGCAAGGATCTGCATGAGAAGTATCTGCATGAGAAAGAAGCCCAGCGTGGAAGCAAAGAAGAAAGTATAAAGAACTTTGTTTGTGTTATGTAAACCTTGTAAATAGTGCAACCATATTATTTTGCTATTTTTAAAAAGCCTCCTATGTAAGAGATAACATTGGTCTGTGTGTTTTTGTTCTCTTTATCACTTTGGGCTACTGGTGATGGGTCACGGTGCTGCTAAGTTCTTCTGTTGTGCATTTATGAGGAGGGTCTTTTGTTAATAAGCCCACCCACCTCACAGATTGCAATGGAAAGTGTCCATGCAGGATTTTATCAGTATGCCACCAATATATAATGCATGTACTTACCGTCCCATACTCATCCCTCCATGGAAGCTGGGTGAAGGTCTCCAACCCTGTGGAAGAAGGGAGAATCCAATGTAATGCATTGTTGGGGTAGGAAAAGTGAGGTCTGAGAGATAACAAAAAGGGCAACCCCCACTCTCAATCCCAAGAGTCAGATTTAGAACATAAAGTTCAAAATGAATTAGAAGTATTGTAAAATGTAGTGTTTTTTGCTCCCACAAACCCACACTCCCATTCATCTGCACCATCCATCAGCACCAATGAAAAAAGTTGTGCTTGGTCTGGCAGGCCAGAGGATTGTGGACAGAAAATGTTTCGTGACCATTCTGATGTAACTGTATATATTCGAGAATAAGCCAACCTGAATATAAGCCGAGACAGCTAATTTTACCACAAAAAACTGGGGAAACGTATTGACTGGAGTATAAGACGAAGGTGGGAAATGCATCAGCTACTGGTCAATTGCAAAATAGAAATAGATACCAATAAAATTACATTAACTGAGGCATCACTAGGTTAAATGGTTTTTAATATTTACCATATTTCAAAGAAAAACCGTAAACTACCTCTGTAAGTGGAAAAGTAAGGTAAAAAAAACCAATATGGTATCAACAATAACATAATAATAATAATAATAATAATAATAATAATAATAATAGAACTTCATTTGTATCCTGACCTATCTCCCCATGGGGACTCAGGCCGGCTTCCAACATAGTAACAGGCAAATATTCAATGCCTATATAAACAATACATAGCTAGATATAGATCTATAATTATATATACTAATTTCACATACGTATTTCCCCCTGAAATGTTTGCAAAATCTTCTCTCTATATATGTGCATTTCCCCTGCAATATCTGCAAGCCCTAAATATCTGTGTTTATATCTATGAAGACACCTCTCTCTATGTGTGTGTGTGTATGTATTTCCCCTGCAATATTTGCAAACCCTATATATCTATATTCATCTTGAGCTAGACATGTCTATATTTGTGTGTGCATTTCCCCCCTGTAATATTTGCAAGCCCTATATATTCATAACTATCTATTTATCTCAATATCACTCTTTTTATAATTATATCTATATAGGATTTGCAAAGACTTGCAAACATGTGAAGGGAAGATTCATACATAAAATTATACATACACACACACACACACAGAGAAATAGACAGATATATAGGTACCTTTATATATTTATTGATATCTATATCTATATAGGATTTGCAGAGACTTGCAAACATGTGAGGGGAGAATTCATACATAAAAATAATGTATACATACAGATACAGATATAGAGGTACATGGAAATCTCTAGATATCTATATGTATATAGAATTTGCAAAGACTTGCAAACATATGAGGGGAAAATTCATTTATAAAATTAATGTATATAGATAGATGCAGATATATAGGTACATCGGGATTGCAAAGGCTTGCAGGGGAAATGCCTATATATCTGTAGGAGAGATTAACAAATATTTCAGGGGTAAGTGCTTTTACAGGAGTCATGGATATTCCTGACTTGCAAGGGCTTCTCTTCTTCTGCCTTTTCAAAAGATTCCCTTCTTCTCTCTCTCTTTTAAAAAAGTTTCCAAAATGGGCAACTCCAGCCTGGGAGAAGTGGAGCGAGCGAGGGAGGCTTTGGAAAAGGAAACACGCTGTTAACGGAGGGGAAGAGGAGAGAGAATTATAGCATATATTCCAAGCCATGGTCTCCAGGTCCCACTGCATGACTTGACCCCATTATAAGCCGAGGGAGGCTTTTTCAGCCCAAAAAAGGGGGCTGAAAAACTCGACATCTTCAAGTATATACGGTATGTATGTGTGCAAGCATTCGGAAGGTGAGACAGTGAGGAAACCCATCCATCTTACCTCGGAGGGCTCCCCAGACAGTATCTGCTGTTAGCAGCATCTGCGCCTCTGAAACTGTCAGCTTATCTGTAAAAAAGAAGCATCATATGATTTGCAGCAGGCCAGGAAGTACTTTGGACTCCCAGATGGTTGATGAATAGCAACAATATAAAAACTCCCCACCCACACAGACCCAAGAATTAAGACTCTCTGGTCTCTCTCAGGAGCTGGAGTTGTACTACGAACCTACACAATCCCTTTGCTCTTCCAGAGAGGCCCTTCTCTTGCTCCCGCCCCCTTCACAAATGGGGACGAGGGAGAGGGCCTTCCCTGTGGTGGTCCCCCAGCTCTGGAACTTGCTCCCCAGAGAAATTAGGCAAGCCCCCACTCTGGCAGTCTTCAGGAAGAGCCTGAAAACTTGGTTGTTCCAGTGTGCCTTCAATGAATTAATGAATAATAATCCCCTGACCTGACCAATCTCTGCATAAATGCCCTCGGAAGCACTTTATTTTGGCTGTTAGTGCAATTAAATCCTACTTCATCCCTCGCCCCCCACCCTTTCCAGATACATTATATTTCTTTCTCGCCCAGTGTTTTTAAACTTTTAATCCTTGCAACCGGCCCTGCCCACTATGATTAATTTTCTGTGTTCAAATATTGTGATTTTATATGGTCTAATGTGTTTATTTATAATGTTTCTTGTATTTTTAAAAATATTTTATTGCTGTATTCTTATGTTGTACATTTGCATTGTTGTACTGCTGGGCTTGGCCTCATGTAAGCTGCCCCAAGTCTCCCTGGGGAGATGGTGGCGGGGTATAAATAAAGTATTATTATTATTATTATTTTACTGACACAAAAACACAGTATGTCACAGCAAACAAGATCTATATGCTGGATTTTGTATCACAAAATCACAAGTCGAACACTTCCCAAGCATCTAGGACTGTGTGATGTATTTTCAAATGATGCACACAGATCCAAGTAAGGTGGCCTTTTGCAGTTGAAAGATGATGATAATAATAATAATAATAGTAATAATAGTAATAATAATAATAATAATAATAATAATAATAATATGCATGCATCCTATCCAGGGCCACCCAGATAGGATGCATGCACTTATTAATTCGCCTACATGGTCACTCTTGTTCCCTCCTAGTATTCCAACACAGACGCAATTCTTGGACACTTCTATTGTGAAGGAACACAGCTACGCCAATACAGTATTGCAAAAGGAGAACTTTACTTACAATTCTCTCGGGAGTCCAGCGAAGGATAGCCATCGCAACCTGGCTCTGCGACAGAGACGAGAAGATTGGGGCAGACGGGGACACCAGAGTGGTCCTTGCCTGCAAAACACAACTGGGAAATAAGCAAGGAAGTTCAAAGTATTGTCAAAGGCTTTCATGGCTAGAATCACTGGCTTGTACGTTTTTCGGGCTGTAAGGAAGTTCAAAGTTTTCTCTTCTTTTGCCCAGTCAAACATTTCCATTCAAAAGGGCTGTATCTGATCTTTAAAAGACCCGAAGAATTGCCTTCCATGCAATACATTTGCAACCTTGAACCCTCCAGATGTTTTGGCCATCTACTCCTCAAAAGTCAAAGTCATCTTCTGTCAATGATCAGGAGATTCTGGGAGTTGGAAATCCCAAATATTTGGAGGGACAAAGGGTGAGAACTATTGCTGCATGCATCATCTCAGGCTTTGTTCTGTCATTAAGATGGGATGGACAAAAAGGAAGTAGTGTTCCCTCGCTGTTTCGTGTTTTGCTTTCTGCGGACTCGCTGTTTCGTGGTTAGGGTTTAGAATTAATATTCTAAATACTAACTGCAAAACAGCGAGTCCATGGGCTCCGTGGCTGCTGGATTGAGGTGGGGAAGCCGGCCCTGGTCGATACAGGGACAGAGCCTGCAGGCTTCTCCACCTTGCCCCAGCAGCCATGGAGCCCTGTGGAGGACCAGGGCAGCCCTGCTAAGGCTGCTGATGCGAGGTGGGGAAGCGGGCCCTGGCCGATCCAGGTGCGGGGCAGGGTCTGCCGCCAGTTGGCCACCTGGCCAAGTGGTGAGAGACTTCCTGCCGCACACACACACAAGTTGAATGAAAAGTAATGCCTCCACTTCCGTAACTCAACAGATGACAGTACTGGTATGCGGCAGGTACTGGCTTGTTCAGTACTCTCCTCTACAGTTCCATTTTGGTGGGAAGCCTTAGCATTGAACGGTTGTGTTGTCAAAGTGCGAAGTATGGAACCCTGCGCAGACAGTCACGGGGTTCAATGTGACTTAAGCAGCCTGCAGTCATTGAATTCTTGACAGCAGAAGGTGTCACCCCAAAGGAGATTCATCAGAGAATGCAAGCTGTTTATGGTGATTGTGTTGATGCGAGTACTGTGTGTCGCTGGGCAAGTAAGTTTAAAGATGTTGAGGTGGGAACATCTGACTTGTGTGACAAACAAAAAGTTGGACGTCCTGTGACAGCAACCACCGGGTTTCACAAGCAAAAGGTTGACAGATACGGTTGTCGTATCACTCAAAGAGAAATTTCAAGCATAATCGGCATTTCACAAGAACATGTGGGTCACATTATTGCTTCGCTTGGTTATCGGAAGATCTGTACACAATGGGTACCCAGGATGAGAGAATGGTGAGCCATTGGTTGCAGAAACAGAGTGTTGACTTCTTCTGTGTCGGCTTCAGAAAACTTATTCACCATTGGCAGAAATGTATCCAATTGTCTGGTGATTATGTCAAAGTGAATAATGGTAGTTAAAGAGCACATTCTAAGGATTGTTTCTGCGTTTGATTTATTAAAATATTCCCATCCAAACCCAAATAATGAAGGTGGAAGCATTACTTTTCATTCAACCCTCATAGCATAGTGTGTTTGTTTAAGTACTGGTTCAAATTCCTACTCAGTAGTGGAAGCCCACTGGATGACTTTTGGCAAGTCACACTCTCTCAGCTTCACGGGAAGGCAATAGGAAACCTTTTCTGGACAGATCTTGCCAGGAAAATCCTGTGAAAGGTTCACCTTAAGGTTACCATACATTAGGAGCAATCTGATAGTTCAGAAAAACAAGAGAACGCTCCCGTCCCTTACTTCCCCACCTATTGTCCTCCATATAAACCTATTAGTCATTACTGGACTTTGGTTGAAACAGAAACTCTGTACAGCTGTTATGTTTGCAACAACAGCAAAATAATCCCAAACCACCCTGGCCAAGGCGATTCTTTTGCAATTAACAGGAAGCCATCCAGAATAAAATTCTTAAAGTGCAATTTCAAAACAGACATCTGCATTTATCTGTTATTTGAAGTCAGCTTAGAATCAGAGTTGGAAGAGACCTCATGGGCCATCCAGTCCAACCCCATTCTGCCAAGAAGCAGAAAAATCACATTCAAAGCACCCCCAGCAGATGGCCATCCAGCTTCTGTTTAAAAGCCCCCAAAGAAGGAGCCTCCACCACACTTCAGAGCAGAGAGTTCCACTGCTGAACGCCTCTCACAGTTAGGAAGTTCTTCCTCATGTTCAGATGGAATCTCCTTTCTTGTACTATGTATGACTATGTGCTAATTGTGTTATGTGTTAAATGTTTTGATACGGCCAATAGGCCAATCAATAAAACGTATCTATCTATCCTTTCTTGTAGTTTGAAGCCATTGCTCCAAGTCCTAGTCTCCAAAGTAGCTTGCTCCCTCCTCCCTATGACTTCCTCTTACATATCTATACATTTATTTATTTTATTTATTTATTTACAGCATTTATATTCCTGTAAATAAATAAATAAAATGTATAAATACATGGCTATCATGTCTCCTCTCAGCCTTCTCTTCTTCAGGCTAAACATGTCCAGCCCTTGAAGCCGCTCCTCATAGGGTTTGTTCTCCAGACCCCTGATCATTTGAGTCACCCTCTTGCTCTGGACATGTCCCAGCTTGTCAACATCTCCCTTCAATTGTGGTGCTCAGAACTGGACACAGTGTGATTCCAGGTGTGGTCTAACAAAGGGGAGTATGACTTCCCTGGATCTAGGCACTAGACTCCTATTGATGCGGCTTCTTAGACTGGATTGTGCTCCCTCCTCCCTACTTTCCCCCAACAATATGTCTGAAGCTGAAAGATAGAGAGACATGGAGAAACAGAAGGATGAACTAATGTCAAATTAATGCAGATTGACATCACTTTCACTGCCATATCTCAGTGCTACGAAATCATGGGAGCTGTATTTTTATAAGGCCTTTAACCTTCTTTGCCAAAGTGTGATGGAGCCTCACCAAACCATAACTCCTAGCATTCCATAGCAGTGAGCCACAACAGTTAAAGTGCCATCAAACTGCATTAATTCAATAGTGGTGTCAGGATCAGCTTGAGAAACTGCAAATCGCTTCTGGGCAACATCCTTTGCAAGGATGTTGCCCAGGGAACACCTGGATGTTTTACCATCCTGCGGGAGGTTTCTCTCATGTCCACATGTGAGAAGCTGGAGCTGACAGATGGGAGCTCACTCCGCTCCCCAGATTCGAACCACCGATCTTTCGGTCAGAAGTCCTGCTGGCACAAGGGTTTAACCCAGTGCGCCACCGGGGGCTCCAAATTCAATAGTGTAGATGAGCCTCTACACATCTATATAAATAAAAATGTAATGTTTGTTTGTGGGGTTAACAAAACTCAAAAAACATTGGACGAATTGCCACCAATTTGGCCACAAGACACCAACTAACCGAAGGAGTGACCGTCACTCAAAAAAATTGATTTTGTCATTTGGGAGTTGTAGTTGCTGGGATTTATAGTTTATTTACAATCAAAGAGCATTCTGAACTCCACCAATGATGGAATTGAAGCAAACGTAGCACACAAGACTCCCATGACCAACAGAAAACATTAGATGGGTTTAGTGGGCATTGACATTGAGTTTGGGAATTGTAGTTCACCTACATCCAGAGAGCACTGTAGACTTAAACAATGATGGATCTGCACCAAACTTGGCACGAATATTTCATATACCCAAATATGAACACAGATGGAGTTTGGGAAAAACAGACCTTGATATTTGGAAGTTGTAGTTACTGGGATTTATAGTTCACCTACAATCAAAGAGCATGCTGAACCCGCGTCTCTGATTTGTGTATCTGCAGCACCAAAGCTTTCTGGCTCTGACTGTGCCAGTTCCTCGGCTGAACCCCAACAACGACAGAATTGGGGCAAACTTCTCACACAGAACCCCCATGCTTAAGTCCATCCAGTCCAACTCCCTTCACCAGGACAAGAAAACGTAATCAAAACCCTCCTGACAAAGGACCATCCAGCCATAGATATAAATAGATATCATTCACACACACACAGATCATAGATTTGAAATGGGCCCCTAAAGAAGGACAACTATATGTTGCATGTTCCAGAGAAGGCAAACCAGACAATCTCC